CATGCTCAGAGCGCTATGGTTCAATATCATTTGTGGGCCGGTTGGGGGGGGGGGGGGAGGTATCTGGGAGGTTTCCGTGCTGCCTTTAGGCACTTAGTAAACACAACTCTGCTCGAGTTGGGTGTCCGAACCTCGAACCCCCTTCGTAGGTAGCCAAGCCAAGCTAAGAATTTAGCCTCTCGACTACGCTTCCCACCAAATGAAAAGCTAAAGAGAGTGTAATGAATTTAGGAGGCGCCGTGGCTGATCGGTATAGCGCTTGTCTTCTGAACCTGAGGTCCTGCTTTCGAATCCTTGTGAAGACTGGCACTTTTAATTTCCGGATATTTGAGCGCCTCTGAGTCCACCCAGCTCTAATTGGTTCCTGACATTAGTTGGGGAAAAGTAAAAGCGGTTGGTGGTTATGCTGGCCACATGACACCCTCGTTAACCGTAGGCCACAGAAACATGATGACCTTTACATCATCTGCCATATAGATCTCAGGGTCTGAAAGGGGAACTTTACTTTTTAAAGAGAATGTAATGTATTTATGCCTGCCATGTCTACGTTGGATGTGGCAAAATATGTAGATCAAAGCTAGGACTGCATACCCACGTGACATACTGCGCTGCACTTAATCTTGGGCTTGAGGGCGTTACAGTAGTTGTGTAGGAAAAAAAATAAGGAAAACGGAAAAATCCGATTTTAGTTTCGCGTGACCATTCTGTCTGTTTGTCCGTCATGATTGGAACTCAAGAATTAGAGGCTATAGAAAATCCACTTGGTGTTATTTTGTAAATGTCATGTTGATCTAAGAATGCAAAAAGCATTGAGATTGCGCTAAGCAAAAACAATTTGGTAAAAATATTTCTAATCGCACAGATTTATTATTGTTAGTTTAGATCAATTAGAAATTTTAATTAACATTACTGTTCTAAACTAATTGATACAATGACACTAAATATAAACTTTTTTAATTATGTGTTTCTATGTATTACTCTTGATCAACTACTGTAACTAGACAATTGAACATTATCCGAATAGGAACCTTATGTTTTTCATTGAACTGATGATGTTAACTATTAACCTGTTTATTTTATTTTAGCTGCAAATACTTTACAAAATATGTCCTCTTGTCGTTACAATTGTTTGTATATCAGTGGCATGCACGCTCGCCAGAGAGGTGAAAGGTTACGCTGAAGTCAAGGACTGTCACGACGAGAGCGGCCACTTGCTTGACAGCTACCTTGAGATTTTTTCGAATATCAGTGACGACCTGACTCGCCTGCAGTGTGCAATGCTGTGTCAAAGGGAAGATAGATGCGCGCTGGCAGTGTTCGTAGAGCTGCTACTAACGACAAGATGTCTGATGTTTGAACCTAAGCTTCTCGAAGGTAAAAACAATATTTATTGGTGTCAGACTTGAAACTTAAATCTTAAGTAAAATCTTGTTTATATGAAATTTTGCTCGGAAAATTGCCCGTGTTTGAAATAGCTCTGTATTTTTGTATTGCTTATATCGCTCATAATTATCACATTCTTTATCTCTTTACTAGCAGTCACGTTCTGACATAATAATTCATGCATTCTTATTTACTCAAGTACTCTCATTCCCTCCCTTCTTCCCTCGGTCCCACTCTCACTCACTCTAACATCTTCTTATCATATTAGTTATAACTCTGTCTCTTATTTGCACACACTATAATTGTAACAACCAAGCGTCAACAAACATATCATTAACAGGTAGTCAAGCGTACACAACTACCTCATTACCAGATAGCCAAGCGTCAAAAACCACGTCATCAGCAGGTAGCCAATCGTCATCAACCACCTCATCCATAGATAACCAAATGGTAACAACCACATCGTCAGCAGGTAGCCAAGCGTCAGCAAGCACATTATCAGCAGGTAGCCAAGGGTCAGCAAGCACATTATCAGCAGGTAGCCAATCGTCATCAACCACCTCATCCATAGATAACCAAATGGTAACAACCACATCGTCAGCAGGTAGCCAAGCGTCAGCAAGCACATTATCAGCAGGTAGCCAAGGGTCAGCAAGCACATTATCAGCAGGTAGCCAATCGTCATCAACCACATCGTCAGCAGGTAGCCAATCGTCATCAACCACCTCATCCATAGATAACCAAATGTTAATAACCACATCGTCAGCAGGTAGCCAAGCTCAAAGTACCACATCTAAAGCTATTCAAGGGTATGAAATGCCAGTATATCATTGGATCGTCAGTATTCTTAGAATTGTATACAATAATTCAGACCTTGTCGTTGACGAAGAGTTTGAAAGTGCAAAAACTCAAAACCCTGCAACCGAATTAATCACTGAGTGTAGGATCATACTATTTAGTTAACAATTACCGAACTCCAACCGTTCGTTAGAAATGATTGTTAACAACTCTGACATTAATTATAAAAAGTAAATGAAATGCTTAAAGTATGGTAAAATCACATTTAGAAATCAATTCTGAACTTCTTATATAATACAGACGTTACTTCAAAAAAGAAGATGATTACGTCCTACGCGTCATGCATTTAGTCATGCATATTAACCAATGACTTAAATTCTGCCAAGTCACTGGTTTTTCTGGCTAGCTCAGGCAACCCATTCCATGCTCTAATAGCACTAGGGAAGAAGGAGTATTTGTACAAATTTGTCCTAGCATATGGGACGAGGAATGTGCCTTTATTTTTGTGTCTTTCAGAGTATTTTATTAAATTTTGTTTTTGTATTTGAAGATTATGGTTCAGTGTTTTATGTATAATTGCTACTTTACTTTTGAGTCTTCTGTCCTGAAGGCTTTCTAAATTTAGTGATTTTACTAATGGTGTTACCCTAGTCAAATGTGAATATTCGTTTGTTATGAATCTCACTGCTCTATTTTGTGTTTGTTCCAGTTTCTTAATGTTTTCTTGAGTTGAGGGGTCCCACACGGTGGATGCATATTCTATTATTGGCCTAACCAAGGTTAAATAACATTTTAGTTTTATGTTCTTATTTGATTTATAGAAATTTCTTTTAATAAATCCTAATGCTTTGTTGGATTTTTTAATAGTTTCATCAATATGTGGATTCCATGACAGTTTTTCATTTATTATAACACCTAGGTATTTTGAGCTTTTAGTCTGTGTTACTATTTTGCCATGAATAAGATAAGTGGAATTAATTTGTTTTAGTTTTTTTGTTACTCTTAACAACTGACATTTTTCTGGGTGGAAAGACATGCTCCAATTTGACTCCCATTTCTGTAATTCATCTAATTCTCTTTGTAAAATATCTGTGTCTTGTTTTGTTTTTATTGTTCTATATATTATGCAATCGTCTGCAAATAATCTGACTTTTGTTCCTGAACTAATGCAATTTGGTAAATCATTTATGTAAATTAAAAATAGTAGTGGACCCAAAACTGTTCCTTGAGGTACACCTGAGTTTACTGTTATTGGTGTTGCTTTAGAGCCATTTATTATTACAGTTTGTTCTCTCCCTATCAGAAAATCTTTAATCCACTGATGCAGTGGACCGTTAATGCCGAAATATTTTAATTTTTTAAGCAAACTATGGTGGTGAACTTTGTCAAAAGCCTTGGAAAAATCTAGTAAGATAGCATCTATTTGTTCACTATTATCTAAACCTTTTGAAAAATCATCAATTAGTCCTATTAGTTGTGTTTCACATGATCTATATTTCCTAAAGCCGTGTTGGTATGGGGTGAGGACATTATGTTTGTCTAAGTGGTTTATGATATTGCTACATATTATGTGTTCTAGTATTTTACATGTGATGCTGGTAAGTGATACTGGTCTGTAGTTTCCTGGATCAGATTTTTCTCCTTTTTTAAATAGGGGGGTGACATTAGCTTCTTTCCAGTCCTTTGGTACTCTGCCCTGGTTAAGCGATGCTTGAAAGAGTATTTTGAACACTGGGGCTAGCTCATTGCTTAGTTCTTTGAGTAATCTAGCTGGAATACCATCAGGTCCAGACGCTTTATTTGGTTTGGTGTTGGCTAATAGTTTTTTAATTCCATTTTCTTGTACTACTAAATCTTCTATGTTGTCTACTTGGTTCAAATTAAGAAATATGTCTTTGTCTCCTGGGGCTGAGAATGCTGATGCAAAGTATTTGTTTAGGATGTTTGCTTTAGTTTCATTATGTATTATGTTATGTTCATCTTTTAATGGCGCTATGCCAGTTGTTTCCATTTTCTTAGACTTAATGTATGACCATAGGTTTTTGTTGTTATCTTTAGATATTACATTGTTTATGTATTCACTCTGCAGCTGTCTGCTTACTTTTTGGGTTAGGTGTTTAATTTTTATATACTTTTTGTAAACTCTTTCTGCCTTGGTTGCTTTAAATTTTCTATATAGGTTTTCCTTCTGTTTACAAAGCTTCTTTAGTCTATTATTAAACCAGCATTTATTTATTTTGTTTGTTGTGTATTTAGTTGGTATATGATTTTCTATAATGCTTTTAAGATGGTTTTTAATGAAATTCCAGAGGTCATCGACTGGTTGGTTAATGTCTTTTTCTAATAAGAATGTTTGTTGAAAGTTTAATGCAGCTTGGTGTAGTTGTGTTAGGTTACATTTATTCCAGAGTAAGATTTTTCTTTTGGTTTTTGTATTGGCTACTGCTCTGGTCATCCTCTGCATCCAAACTCGTCCCCTGACGTCTTGACCAAATCTTGCTTCTGGAAAAGGATGGGCATTAGGGCGAGATAGTGAGGTCGACGTATTGAGCTAATCCTTCTCGCTTTAATAAAAAAATAAAAAATTCAGCGCGTCACGTAGTCATCCCCCCCCCCCCATATGCAAAGCCCTCAGCCCTCTGGATGACAAAAGTGGTCATCATCGAACCACGATGGACGAACTATATATCTTTAGGAGGAAATGTTCAAATGTGTTGTTGTTTTCTTTTTCAAAACAAAAAAAATACTGGGCAATCACAGTTAGAAAGTAATGAAAAATCATACTACTGAATTTTATATAAGTGAATAAGAATATGTCTCTCTCTCTTTAGTAACTGTAAGTGTATTGGTTTTATTTTACAGGAGGAAATAAATGTACATTTAGGCCGTCAGATACAATCATTTTCAAAACATTTCAACACATTTGGTTTAATAAAAGGTAAAGATACGGAAAAATAAAAACCCTTACAGCTTACGATGAGTAGTGGATTAACACTACAGAACGAAAGGCTTATCGTAAAGAGAGCATTGTGTAACGGACTAAATCGCTTTGCGAAAATAAAAGGGAAAAGAATGAATGGGCCCTTCAATCCACATGATTGGGGACAATAGAAGGGGAGTGGGGGGGGGGCTTTACCTTGTCATGCAAAGTAAATTTGACTCATTACTGTCTTTAACTTTAGTTACCGCCTAAGATAAGGTGTTGCCTCTGTGTTCAAATTGGAGGTCAACGTTACGTAAGTATTTTTATCTAAGAGCTGTTCAACGTATTCTTTTTATTTTAAATAAAAAAAAGGTCAAATAATTAATCCTATACCAGAGGATGAACAGTGACATTAATTAGTAAACATTTATTTGAGATGAATTCATACACTCCTGAAGTTAAATAAAATATTTAATGTTCCGATTAAAAAAAAAATATTGCTCCTAAATTGATGAAGGTGCGGTGGCCGAGCGATAAAGCGCTTGGCTTCCAAACCGTGGTGCTGGGTTGCAATCCTGGTGGAAGTTGAGCTTAACACATACACATAAATTAGTCATTGGTTTTGAACCTTAAGCGTTACACAGAGTTCACGTTTTAATTAACGATTAAATCATTGTATTTAGCATGATGTATACGAGGGTATTGAGTAGCCACTACAACTTTTTTTTTCTACAATATAAATTTGTTGGCAGCAACACATTAAAGCTACACATTCTTGAGGAAAGGAATTAAATCCTTTGCAAATAAGCTCTTAAGCCCTGAGCTAATACGAGGCATCTTCAACATCTTTACAAGTACTGAATTTAAAAGGGCATAGCTAACTGAGATTCTTCAACAGGTCCTCAGGAGAAGAAAGCCTCAAAGGGATGTAGCAGTAGTAAGATGAATTAGGTACAACAAATATGTGTACATAAACTTTTAATTTTAAATGTATATAATGGTACAATGATTTTGGAACCCATGAAATGCTGACATTAATATGAATGAAAATTTACAACAAATAAATAACACTTAAAAGAATAACTAGGGTATAAGATTGTATTACAGGATATAAGTCTTTACATAAATATATGCATCCCCTAGCCAACATCGGACCCACAGGTGCCGCCTATGAGTTGGTGTTAACATAAACTCCATTTGCTAACTTGTAACTGTCTTCTTTAGAGCATGCATTGTTCAAGACTGGCCAGATATTGAATTGTTGTGAGGGGATGACTCCTGAGGTGCACTCTTATAAACACAGTTTGGGTTTTTCAGTAGTCACGAAGTTTGAGGCCGCTTGAGAACCTCAGCCAAGGCGCTTTTTGTCTTAGATACCATTGGCTAATGACATAACTTCTTTATCCAAATCATTAGAAAGGTAGAAGGACTCCCAACGCTGTATGTTTGGGGAGGGGGGGATTATCCAATTTTCCGACATTTTTTTCATCTTCTTCTTTAGTAGCATATGATAGAAAGCAAAGCTGTGTGTTCTTGACTCTCTGTGTGTGTGTGCTTGTCATTTGTATTTGTAAATGTGAGTGTCTGTCACAACAACAATATTTCAGATCAAAATTGAATCATCTATGCAGCATACATCAATGTAAAAGCCTTTGTGATAAGTGGTCGTGTCTGTTTAATAAAAACCTGCTACCGAGGTTCTCAGTTTTCTTTTGAATTTCTCTTTCCTAATGCGCTTTTATTTCTTTTGGCTTGCTTTATTTCTTTTTGGCTCGCCCTAATGTATATTCTCTGCATGTATGACACTATATCTCTCTTTCTGTCGTTGTCTCTTTCTCGCTGCTTCTGTCTTACATAGAGGTCATTAATATTCATATGAAGACTACGATCTCCACGGCTGTTCCCTTTAATGGTCGTAGCAATGTTCCGCATCTGTTCCCATGTTGTCGGTGATACACACTCGACTTGTCAACAAAGAAATAAACTAAAGCACCATAATGGCCATTATGTCAAGGTGGCCTTTCCCTTTAACATAGCAACTGTATCAGGAAAGTGTAGTTGTTCTTATTTATTTGTTTGCATTTAACCCTAATCGTCAGCATCGAAGACTGCGTCTTTTTGGAAATAAGTATAAATAAAAAAACATGAAATACCTAAAAAATGGTTTATGTTAATGTTTTGCATATGTAAATATATTCACATTTTATACATGTCACACTAATTCGTAAGGCGCGTTTATTTGCAAGGTCTATTCAGTCGCAAATTCTGTTGAAATGTCTGTGTTCGAATAGCTTCCAGTCCATGTTTTCTTTAAAAATGATGATGATTCTGATTCTGTTGGTTGTTCTCAAAGTACATAAAGTCCTGTAAGGGAAATAAACAATCTCAAATCAAATGTGATTTAGAATAAAACAAATCAGTAAATTTCACTTACAGTTTTAATACCCCACCACACAAACACCCCCAAAAAAATCAATCTCGTAATTCATAGCTTGTGGAAATGAATGGATTTCGAATTTTCACCAAATTGTGTGGAATGTTTTTTTAGTCAACACGTGACTTTATTTTTATTTGTCAAATGTTAAATATGGGAAGTGAAGATGTGTTATGAAATGTGTGTGTGTGTGTTTCTATGGTGACGGTTAGAAGAAGTCAGCGATTGGTTGGTGGCTATGCAGTGTGAATGATGCAAGATAAGCGGCACTGTCGTAAGCTGTCTAGGGTGTCTCCAGGATGCCAGAGGGTACAGAAGTTTGTTTTTATTCTGATTTATTTAAAAGCTTAACTTAGACGTTTCCTTTCATCTCAAATTAAATGTTCTTGTTTTATAATTAAATATATTTAGTTTGTTCACAAAGAAATTATTTAAGCTATTTCAAGTTTTATAAAGTAACATATAATAGCCTACAGAGGTTCAGCTGTCTACCAGCAGTTCGGTGCTACAAGTCAATGCAGTTTACACTGTATAATAACCATTAACTTTAAGCCAAACTTTCTCTTGTATTTTACGTCACTGAAGACGTTACTTTCTCTTTGGCATTCTGTAGAAGCTTCCAGAATTTGGGCAGCTCTTTAATGGCGCTGCAATCTGCTTTTCTTTCATGTCGATCGAATCCAAAAGTATGAAACTCCATCTCATTTTATGGGTCAGGTGGTTGCAGGAGTTTAACAGTAAGCAGTGTTTAGTTTGACCTGAACCATGGCACCACTGGTTAACATCTGAAATCCACGACCAGGTTCTGAACAGGACGTACTGTGCAGAATCTATGCACTGACTAGAGAGGCTTGCTACAAAGAGACTACTGACTAGAGAGGCTTGCTACGAAGAGACTACTGACTAGAGAGGCTTGCTACGAAGAGACTATTGACTAGAGAGGCTTGCCACGAAGATACTACTGACTAGAGAGGCTTGCCTTGAAGATACTACTGACTAGAGAGACTTGCTACGAAAATACAACTGACTAGAGAGGCTTGCTATGAAGAAACTACTGACTAGAGAAACTTGCCACGAAGATATTACTGACTAGAGAGGCTTGCTATGAAGATACTACTGAATAGAGAGGCTTGCTATGAAGAGACTACTGACTAGAGAGGCTTGCTATAAAGAGACTACTGAATAGAGAAGCTTGCTATGAAGAGACTACGTACTGACTAGAGAGGCTTGCTATGAAGAGACTAAGTACTGACTAGAGAGGCTCTATGAAGAGACTACTGGTTAGAGAGACTTGCAATGAAGAAACTAAGTACTGACTAGAAAGGCTTGCTATGAATAGCCTAAGCACTGGCTAGAGAAACTTACTAACGGCACTGACTTTACCACCAAAATAGAGTTGTCACTCTAGACGCAAAACGCAACACTGGTCACAATATAATGGCATCACTTGGCTCAGAGGATCCTACTAGAGCATTTACTGGACTAGACGTCATCTACTATCAAAACTAATGGACTCCAGGCTTGCCAGGCTATATAGTGTGATAACAGTTGCAATTCTTTCGATGACCGTCACGAAAACGAGCGATAATATATTTTGTTTTGGTGATGGGGGGGGGGGTGTTATTTATTTAAGAAGATATACTCACAATTAGGAACACGCAGCCCATTAGAGTTGCTTTCATCTTGGCATCGAGATCCATGGGAACTAGAAAGAAATAAACATTTATAGGTTAAAGAACTGTTTTCACTGACAGATCACAGATACTCTAGAATTAAATCCGAGTACAGCAACTTCCTTCCCATTAAACACACAAATAATAAATGTAAATAAATCAAGTAAAAATAAGTTCCCACAGACTGCTTTCAAATGTAAACTAGATCTAGAAGCAAGAAACTAATTAACTCATAGCTACATTTGACTTCTTGACTGTGTACATTTAGATGCTCAAACCTATCTCCAATACGATTTTAATACGATAAGATACCATTAATCAGATATTTCCACGCGACTTGGTCTGGTCTAGGAATTATTTCTAAAGGTACCTGCATGTCAGAAATTTAGACAATAAAAACAAAAAAAAAGTATGTAGATCTAGAGTAGACCACTTCAGTGCGATGAAGGTACTTAACACTTAGTCAAATAATACCAAAATAATACGCTAGGGCACTGGCGATGAAGCAATCACATGGACTTTGATACGTTCAACTACCTAGGTCATTCAAAACCTTAACTAGTGACGCCCATTTAGATTAAAAGTGTACATTAGCGCCCCACTTAAGTCCACAAAGAGTCTCACAGTTTATGAAACACGGATTTAAGCCCACAGAAAAAAAACTGTCTTTGCAAGGGATATACCACTATTTGTTTCAACATAAGTCATTCATGTTTGTAAAAATGTTTTGTAAAATGTTTTACATATTTTGGATGTTCCTTCAGAGTTGAAGATAGTTTACTTCCTAGTCCAAACCTCCCGCAGGACGACGGGGGATGGGAGCGGGCAGGGTTTGAACCCTTGACCGTCGATAAATCCGAACGACAGTCCAGCGCGCAAACCGCATTTATGAAAAAAGGTCACGCATGCGCAACACAGAATGAACTCTATAAAAGCCAATTTTTAACTCTAGATTAGTGTAGATTTAGATCTATGTCTACCTCAAGATCTACTGTATACTTTAATACATGAACATACAAAATTAAGTCTATTCATCTCAAATTTTAATCAAATATATGTAGGCCTACAAGCAAATGTTTTAATTTGAGAAAATGGATTTAAGCCTATTAGCTATTTTTATTTGATAGCTTCATTCACACTATTTTTACATTGACACATTCGCTTTACTTATTACATTATTATTTCGTTTAATTGTGACTATATCGACTGTAATGCGCAAATAAAGACCCGCGGGTCGCGGGTAACATATGTCTAGTACAAACTAAAGATAACTGTACAATCTTCTATTGTCATAGGCGCCCCACTAGCAGAGTGGTTAGGATGTCGGATTGAGCCGTGAGTTCGACTTCCAGTCGTTCTTCGCCCCCCCCCTTTTTTTGTGTTAAACGCTTGAAAAAGCGAATACGGTAAAAAATACACCCAGATCTCACTTTCTTTCCCACACCCTCCCCCATTTACCAACTGGTCCAGGCAAGTGATAGGATCATAGCGCATTGAGAAAGCTAAAAACATGAAATAGCGCTAAACAAAAACAAATGGTAGGCCTAAACATATTTCTAATCGCACAGACTTATTGTTGTTGGTCTAGATCTAGTACACATTTCATTACTTCACTGACCCAAACTAATTAATACAATTATACTACGAATAACCGATTTTTTTCCGTATTTTTAAAAATGTTTTTCATGTTTGAATGTGTAATTAGGTTTTATTTTGTCAAAATTTCACCGATTTTTAAGTAAACAAAGAAAAAAATAAATAAAAAAAACCGAACCCTGTTTTGTTTGTTTGTTGCATTGCATTGTAATACATATATAGTTTATAATTACCTACGTTATTTGGTAGTTTGAAAACTATAACAAGAGTGTCTATTCAATTTTAAAATTCAATTGTTTATTACAACTTATCGACATTTTTTGTAGTGTGAAAAAGTCACCATGTCCAGTCTAGTATAATATAAAAGTACATGGTGTATACACTTCTATGTTAATAGTATAAATTAAATTAAGATTTAAACAAAAAAAAAAACAACTTACAAGAAATACCAAAGTTGTCAGCATCTGTAAAATACTCTTGAAACAAGCCCGACCATTGTTTTGTTATATTGGCTACCACTGTCTCTGTTCCGAACTTGCGTACCTAAAGAGGCAAAGCAGAAA